CAGAGTCGGTCACGACTGGACCTAATGGTCAGGGGTCCCTTTACTTTTACCTATTTTCCTCCTAGCATGGCTTTCTTGGTGTTGTCCCCCCTTTTTAAGGGGGGGAAAACTGACTTCAATGAAAGCAATTCAGTGTAGCTTTAGACTGCTTTCTGCACTCCCTGGTGAAAATTCTCTGCACCCACATATTCAGAACATCCTGCTACGTGACCTGCACCCTATTTCTCTTGCAGTGTTTTGTGTTCTTTAGTATGTATAGGAAGGATCTGTGGTTAAGTGGTAGGCTGTGTGCTTTGTGTACTGAAAGCCCCATGGTGAGTCTCTGGCAGCCTCAGCCAAGCAGGCCTGGCAAAGATCTCTGCCCAGCACTCTGCAGAGCCATTTCCTGTCCAGGGAGGCAATGCTCAGCTGTGTGGGCCATATGGTCAGAATTTAGCCTAGCTTAATGCTGACAATCTGGGAACAAGTCATTTCATGTGTGCGCATCTAACCTGGCAAGGTTGCAAAACCAGCACTTCCCCTGCCTGCTGGCTGCACCTGCTTCTCAGCAAAGCAAATTTGTTTTTTGTTTTTGCTGTGCTCTCCTTTAAAATACTCCATGCCGGTTAAATTCCTGTGTCAGTACCGAAGACCTTTTAAAGCGTTATCCAATTAACGTTGGCTGTAGCGACTGCGGCACCTGCTTTTCTCCATCTGTCTCTTTTCAGGCTGCAGAGAGAGCAGGGTTGTCCTCGGACCAAGCTCGGAAACTCCTGGAAATGAGTTCCTCACCAGAGGTGAAGAATCGCCTGAAAGCTACAACAGATGAAGCACTAAAATATGGGGTGAGACACTGGCATCGCATTAGGCCAGGGCGGGGGAAGCTGTGGTCCTGCCGATACTGCTGGACTCCCCAACTCCCATCAGCGCCAGCCAGTAGGGTCAGTGATCAGCAATGATGGGAGCTCGAGTCCAACGGATGTCTTGAGCTCTGCAGGTTCCTCTTCCTTGCAAATACTCTATCAGCAGCTGTGCATCTTCCACCCCCTGCCCCTTTTTCCTGAAGGGTTACCCTGAGGAATCAAGTGGCTGGATGTCCAAACAATAGGGAAACGGGCCATCTGCTTTGGATGCAGAAGGTCGCAGGTTCAATCATCACTGGAGTCCTTCTGAGAGAAGAAGGAGACAGTATAGATTTACAACACTGGTTTGCAGAAGGTCTTAGTTCAGAGGCTGCAGAGGGGAGAAGCTGGGAAATATTGGGAGGGGAGCAGCACCAGGGAAGAGACAGCTGACAAACTCAGTGTCTTTAGAAAGCATTCCAGACCCCCCTTCTCCCAGAACCTGGTGGGCATGGAAAGTAGGAGAACAGAAAGCACAGATCTGCCAACATAGGGATGACATGTAATAGGAGAGACGCAGGCAGTGGGGCTTTACTTGGAGCAATGCCATTACTGCAACGGAGAGGCACTTTTCAAAGCTGTGAATATCGAATAAAAGATTTGGTAAGAACTCCTCTTGTGTATCTAATTCTTGGCTGCCCGCCATGGAAGGGACTGGATTCCCTGAAGCCAGGTAGGGCTGGTCAGAAATCTTGGAGAGCTGCTGGCAGTCAGTGAAGACAGTACAGTACATACGCTTCAGGTTACAGACTCCACTAACCTAGAAATAGTGCTTCAGGTTAAGAACTTTGCTTCAGGATGAGAACAGAAATTGTGCTCCGGCGGCGCGGCAGCAGCAGGAGGTCCCATTAGCTAAAGTGGTGCTTCAGGTTAAGAACAGTTTCAGGGACGTGGGTGGCACTGTGGGTAAAACCTCAGCGTCTAGGACTTGCCGATCGCATGGTCAGCGGTTCGAATCCCCGCGGCGGGGTGCGATCCCGTCGTTCGGTCCCAGCGCCTGCCAACCTAGCAGTTCGAAAGCACCCCCGGGTGCAAGTAGATAAATAGGGACCGCTTACCAGCGGGAAGGTAAACGGCGTTCCGTGTGCTGCGCTGGATCGCCAGAGCAGCGATGTCACACTGGCCATGTGACCTGGAAGTGTTCGTGGACGGCGCCGGCTCCCGGCCTATAGAGTGAGATGAGCGCACAACCCTAGAGTCTGGCAAGACTGGCCCGTACGGGCAGGGGTACCTTTACCTTTACCTATGGACCTCTAGAACAAATTAAGTACTTAACCCGAGGTACCACTGTACTCAGCAAGTACTCAGCGAGATGTACCAATATACTGATTCAGTATAAAATTCCTGGATCTGTGTGTCCTGGTGAGCCATTAGGCTTTTAAGCTACTTTCAGACAACCTAACAGAACGGAAGTGACCACATTCACTTCCCAGTGTTCAAGCTCCGATATATATTCCATCTTTCTTAAGAACCTAAGTGTAAGTTAAATCTGCAGCCACCAAACACAGAAGGCAACCTGAACCCGTTTGAGCTTCGCAGGTTCATGTATATTGCATCAAAGTGTGTAGATGAAGCAGTGCCCCCTTTGCGACTCTTGTGTCGTATGTCTTCCTTCAGGCATTTGGGCTGCCATGTTTTGTCGCTCACGTTAACGAAGAGCCTCACCTTCTCTTCGGTTCAGATCGTTTAGAGCTGCTGGGACATCTCTTGGGTGAGTGTTTTTAATGCTGTTGCCTATCATTTAATCGTCTTTCAGGTTCCAGTTTGGACTAACATGCCAAAAGGAAAGTCCTGGCCACTTGCAGGTACTTAAAAAACCTCAACAACTTTAAATACCTCAGGCTGTATACTGAATATTCCAGTCCATGCCGTTCACTCTGTCTAGAGATTCTCAGGTCATTCAGGAGCCCCCCGACACGAATGTGGTACCTTTTGCATGACTGAATGCTCCTTCATTTAATCTTTTTGTGGCTGACAGAAGAGTTCTTGCCTAGCCTAGTTTTCACTGTGCTGGGAATTATTGATGGAGGAGTATTCAGTTTTGTAAGCATCTGCCTTCAGGTTGAATTTGCATAGCTTAGGCATCACTCTGCTGGCCCTTTGGAGAGTTTGATCCCTTCCCCTTGTCTGACTTCCTATAAAATGCCCAGACTTCTGAGGCAGTTGTAGTGACACAAACTGCCTTAATCTAGTAACCTATCAGATGAAGTAGGGAATTAATGTCATTTTCCCACTGCTGCTATTGAATTGGTGTGTTGGCTTAACTTGTTGCTTCTTTAAGACTCCCTTCTGCATTCTGAATCTAATTTGCTCTCTGATTCCGACTTGTTTTGCAGGAGAGAAATGGCTGGGACCAGTTCCCACATCTTCTAAGCTTTAGCTCTGAGAGTTACAGAGGAACAATGGGATTTCTAAGCCACAAAGGTTTGGGAGCGTCTGTTTCTACAAGGTGGACACAGGAGGGCTGATGGGCAGAAGGCAACCCCATAAACACGATTTTTGATACTAGAGAAGGCAACACAGTGATGATATCAACATGCAATGCACCTCAATCACACTGGTTTATGTCTAACACACATTTGACCCGTGTGAGTTGCTGGCATACCGGAGATGTAGATACGCATTAACAGAGAAGCTTCACTTTTAGTTGCTTGTTTTGGTTGCTGCTTCCGGCAATATAGTTAGTTGGTTGCAGAAATTGATACAGATGGTGTGAGTCAATGAGGTGCGTATTGCTCTTCATGAGAGACTGCTCTTTGTTGGGGATATGTAATGGCATAATAAAAGGGGCCTGGAGGTGTATCTTGTCCAACTTGGTCATTAGAGGGCTTCAAAGTGCTGTGGACAACAGCACAGCTCCCCTGCGCCATTCCCAGAAGTGTTGCATAATAGCAACATTTGATTCTTTTCTGAAATTCAGATGTGTTACAAACATCGGAAACTGACACGCACTACGTCTCTGTAGTCTGGTAGTGTCTACTCTGACTGCCAACAACTCTTGGGGTATCAGAGGGTCTGTCACGACCTCCACTACCAACAATAAATGCCAGGAGTTGAGAACCTTTTTCATACGCTACGTGCGCGCACCATCAGTGAATCTTAATTTCATTCAGACACAACTTGAAACAACTGTTTGGTACAGTGGTACCTCGGGTTAAGTACTTAATTCGTTCCGGAGGTCCGTTCTTAACCTGAAACTTCTTAATCTGAAGCACCACTTTAGCTAATGGGGCCTCCTGCTGCCGCTGCGCCGCCAGAGCACAATTTCTGTTCTCATCCTGAAGCAAAGTTCTTAACCTGAAGCACTATTTCTGGGTTAGTGGAGTGTGTAACCTGAAGCGTGTGTAACCTGAAGCATATGTAACCTGAGGTACCTCTGTACTTTAATTAAACAAGACAAGATAAATATACATAGATTAGGATAGGTTGAGAGACTGTGGGTGGAGAAGGGAAAGAAGGGCCATTGCATTTCCAGCATTGAAGCCCTCTTCTCCTGGGAGAGGCGTCTACAGTGAGCCTTATTACAAGTAGAGCAGTTAGTTGCAGGAAGTGATTTCTTCTGTGCTTGGTGAACACCCTCTGCTTAAGTGCCACAGCTGAATCAGGAGTGCTCTGATGGTGTTTCCTGCTTGGCAGGGGGTTGGACTCGATGGCCCTTGTGGTCTCTTCCAACTCTATGATTCTATGATTCTATTCTATGAATCGCTGTGGTGTTGTGCTTCACAAACAAACAAGAACAAGAAATCACCCTGATTTCAGGTCACACAGGTTTTTGGTGGATGTGTGTTTCCTCCCAATTTGCAACCTTTGCTTCCTAACAAGAACTCCTCCTGTATCCGAAACCTGTATCTGGATGCTGAGATCAGTGTCACTGTGCATCAAAGAACAGACAAAAGTGTGTGTAGCACTTCATCCCAAGACCAAAGAATTTAAACTGATCTCATGCTTCACACTTTCAGTGGGGTGGACCTGTCTTAAGGTCACACAGTGTTTTTACCTGTTCGTCTTTGCTAAAATAAGGCACGAGAAGATAATGTGGTGCAGGCCAGACCCCTTATTTTAACCCCAAATAGTTCTTGGCAGGAACACTTAAGAGACCACAACGAAGATCAGCGCATATTGGTCACAGTAGTCTTTTATTGCAAGCCCAGACACCACAGACACAAGAAGCATGGAGCAAGGGTCACAAATTCACATTTATAGGTTCTTGATGGCACAGAGACTTAAGGGAGAATGGAGTGGTTGGAGGGACTGTTGTACAGTGAGATACCAAACAAAGACCTGTTGAATCCCATGAAGGATGAGATGAACACAAATCCCTCCCACTATCAGACACCTGTGCACTTTGGCACAAGATACCTACGCTGCATAAAGCAGTTGAGGAGCTCTCACATACCAGGTGCCATCCTTAGAGTGATAAGGGCTTTCATTCCTTAGTTTTATAAAGCCTGTGCTCAGAAGAATGGGTACAAACACAGCCTTTCTAAGAAGGCCCTGTGGGGGCACATCTTGGGTTTTTAAATTTTAGCAGTTATGAGGACAGACAGAAAGATCTCTCTCCTCTTGTTTGTTTCTGAAACTATGGCAGGAGACCCCTGTTCCCCCCTCTTGACTTTCTGATCTCCTGAGGTTGCTGAACTAGAATGACACATGTGGGTGAGCGAATGCCACGATTTGGACTTTTGTGGTTGGTTTCCTTACTGCCTGTGGTGCAGCTGTCACTGAATGAAGCAGAAAGGTCAGGTCAGGCGTTCTTGGGGAGTCCAGCATTCAACTCCTCCGGACATCTGGGTGAGCTGCTGTTGAGGTCTCACTTTGGCATCAAATCCTGCAAGCACAGACAGGGAAGTTGATAACAGCTGAGTAGATTCAAGGGACAGATGTGATCACGGGACCCCAAAGCAACTTCGTTCTTCCTACACTTCAGTCTTTGGTACAGCTTAACAAAGCAAAGCAGTTTCATCTGTGAATGCTAACAAAGGGCAGGTACATTCCCTAGACCAGAGGCAGAGCGATACTATACCAGGCAGCACAGCAGGTGGGGAACCAGGCGGCCTGTCTTTTACCAGCAATCTCCATAAAGAATCCAGGTTCATATATGGAGACACACAACCAGGGATGAGCAAAATCTCATGGGAAGCTTTATGGAATTTTTTTATTTCCCTTAAGCCATGAAAAGCAATCTCATAATATAATATGGATGCAGCTGAGAGGGCAATATTCAGATCCGCCAGGCTGATTAGGTGAAAAGCATTTCAACGCAACCTATTTCCAAGTCCCACTGTGACAATTTGCAAGCGTGCTCCGACACGTCCCCTGTGTGACAAATTCAGCCAAGTTAGTTGGGTTGCCTTTACTGGATCTGAACAAAGCTACAAATTGGTATATGAATCAGACCAGTGCAATTCTGAGTTTTTTGCTTCTTATGGTACCTCCTGTGGCGACCAAAGCTGTGGGGCACAAGTAACCATCCAATGAGTTCTGTTTGCACAGAAACAAGCCTGGGCAGAATATAATTGTGTCCGATTAGGTACCGTTCGGGGGGAAAGTAACTCGCCCCCTGGAAAAGGCATCTGATTACCTTGAAAGCTTCCAGAGTCATTGGAAGTCCCTCCCCCTTTCTTGAAGACAAACTAATGAAGGATGCACCTCCCCATCGATGACAGAGGCAGGAAACAGATTGACAGAAGCACAAAGCTAGCCAGTGAGCAGAGATGACTGAGCGCAAAAAAATTTAAAAAGCTGCAGTAACACAGAGAGATGGATGGGGCTGGGGGGAAAGGGCATTGTGGGAAACAAGAATCTTGGGGAATTCGCCAAGAAACTTGCAGACCCTGCTAGATGCAGCGGAGGTGTGTTTGTGATGGGGGCACAGAGCAGTTGTCTTGGGAAAGAAGTTCAGATTGGTGTGAGGGGTTTGGGAAGAGAAGACACAGGAGCCGCCTGTGTGTCTGGGGAGAGCCACAAAGTCAGCCTCCTGTTTTCCCATCAGGGAATGCGGAGGGTGACCAAGAGAGCCCTCTTCCTTTCCATCACCTTTTGCCCACATGCCCTTGTCCCCTTACCCTAGGGCACCGAGGCTCCCTAGGGTGTGGATTACCTGAGAATTACCCAGCATGCACTGAGACACCCCTCCAGCGATGACATCACACACAGCACAAAATGGAGGCCTGTGGAACAAGGAAGTGGCAGTTTCTTTAGCATTCTTCCCTTTACCCCCCCCCCCCGCTTTCCAGTATACGAAGAACCCATGAAATCACCTCCCTGCCTCCTTAATCTCATGGGGAAAAGAAAAGTAGAAGAACATACTGGACTGTAACGATGAGCATCCACTTTGCTGCCTTTCCCCTTCTCCATGGAGCCTGCAGCACTGCTTGGAGGGAGCAGCTGAGTTACTGAAAGGAATTAAGCATTTTATTTAGAAAGGTTAAATCAAGCTATTTCTGGCGCACCAGACCCATCTTTTTTCTTACTCAGGCTCCTGACAACTACCGGTATATACAGGATGCTACAGTACTGCTAATTTACTTGGGACATCAGCCATTTTCCAATACCTGTCCCTGGTAAATTACTGCCCCTGTTTTACCATTGTAGAGATATTCAGTAGACACTGTTCTACATTTTCAGCCCTCCTAGCCTTAGAACATAAATTTCAAGCATAATATTCAACCTATTATCCACTGCTTTTGTTTAGAATTGTTTTACTTGTTTTTATAATTGCCTAAACCATTATACCTGTTTTCCTGGTTTTTCATGGCATGATTATAATGTAACCCACCCTGAATAATGTTCAGGGGGAAAGAATGTGCTTTTATGAGTCCTGATCCAAATTGGGGTCTCCCCATGCTGCTTTAAAAAAATGAATAAACCACCAAACAACACTTAAATATGTTCAAATGTGGTAGCACATTTTAAAGGTATCATCAACAGCCCTTAAGTGGTTTCGAAATGGAGAACATGTCCATTAATGGTTCTTGGTCACGAGGGCTAAATGAAACTTCCAGATGCAAAGCCATTGTATCCCTAAACACCAGTTGTTGGAGAACACCAGTAGGAGAGGCATATTGCCTTCAAGCTGCCAGAACCATGTGGCTGGTCCCTGTAAGAAAGGAATGCAGCACATTGGGTCATTGGTCGATGCTGCATTTTATTCATGCCTTTAGCCAGAACCCACCTCTCTAGGATGTGTCAGGAGGAAGTAGAATCAAGAGAAAGAAAAGAGGATGTATTTGATTTGCTTTAGCATATTGTAAAGAAACCAGGTAGTTCTTCAGCAGCTGAAAGTGTGATACTGCTTTCCAGCTGCAAGGAAAGACAGCCGTCATTCTCAAATGATTCCTGCCTCTTGGTCAGAACTGGTTTTTTTCTCAAAAGGATAGTGAATCTTTGGTTCACTTGGAAAATTGTAGCCACGTCCTTCTCATGCAAATAGGCACAGGAGTCCTTCTTGTGCTATCATCCTTCCTCCATGAGGGACATCAACATGGGAAAGTTCCCATCTACTTGCTGTCAGTGCAATGTGGGATGGCTTTGCAGCAGCAATGATAATGCAAATGTGACACATTAGTTCACCCAAACAAGTCTTGTCCTAGAACCTGCAAGAACTCGTTTGGTTTTTACCTGGTGAGCTGGTACTGCTGGGTGTGCAGACGCTATCATCTAACCACGCGCTCTGAGTCAGGGACTCCTGCTTTTGGGGACCTTCAAGGGAACACATCAACTCCTGCACAAGAGAAATGGGGAACGGGCCTTAGAGGATGCGGCAGCTGCTCAGCTGGGACAGGAGGACTACTTGAATGGAAAGGGGATTTCCAAGACCCCACACTGACCGCCTCGTTCTCCTCCTCCTCCGATGTCTCATTTTCTCTCACTCCGCTGCAACAGCTGCTCACGTTGGACGAGGAACGGGACAAGGGCTGCATCACGCAATACCCTGATGTCTGACCGGAGAGGGCTCTGCTGGAGGAATACACAAGCCCCAAATCATCACCCTCATAAATCCCAAGGGCCACCAGCCCAGCATTACAGTTCATAAGCCTCTGTGACAAAAGCCTCACTTTGTGAGAAGTCTTAAAAGCCTGCCCAGACTTGCTCAGGTCCTCTAGTTCATTAGAGCTCAATACACACATTTAAAAATGAAGCTTGGGCTGAGAGACAGCAGTTGGCCCAAAGTCACCCAGTGAGCCTCATAGCCAAATGGGGGTTTGAACCCTGGTTTCCAAAGTCCTAGTCCACTGCTCTTATTATGCTACATTGGCTCAATCACCCTCTCTTTCCTGTTAATATAACATGGCAGGATGGAGGTTCCCTCCCCCCCCACTTTACACAAGGCTTCCCAGTGTTCTTTTGTTCTCAACTCACTTGTTCTTCCTGTTGGGGAATTCTGGGGAGCTGGGACTGGAAGAGCCGTCCGACTTGAGGTCAAAGAAGGGCCCTGTGCTCTCCAACACTTTCTGTATCCTTTCAGCAATGTCTTTGCTTTGGAGGAAAGGGAACAAAAGCATTTACAACATGGAGCCAAATGTCCTTGCATGAAATCCAGTGGCTTCATTTCTTTAAGACTCTTAAATTCTCCTTCAGCCCATATGGGGACAGAATGAATTCCTCCAAAGGTCATGAGAATGGAAACTGACCCTTTCCCAAAAGTCTAACCAGTGACCTGCATGGCCTCCTGCCTTTCTCTCTAGCAAACAGCACATTGAACTATATATATATATAAACAGTACATAATTCATTCACTATTGTTTCCATTGGTTCATGGGGCTTTCCCATTCTTAGCCCAAATCTCAATTATGGTGAACAGGCCAATTTAACAGGTCAAAACTAAAATGTATTTTATATACATTTTAGACCCATGATACTGCATGATGTAGAATCTTGATTGGCAGAAACAACAGTTTTTAGGTTTAGCTCACTTAGAATTCTCTTTCCAACTGAAATGCACTCTAAGCATGAAAAGAAATATTTAAGCAGAGATACAGGCTGTGTGTACTCAAATTTGCAAGAAAGTAGGTTGGTCCCTTCTCCTATCTACATATATAGCACAGGTTTGACTAATATGCAGGACACATCAGATTTCACTTTCAATATTTTAGCTCTGCTCATTTTGAGGACAGGAGCTTTAAAGGCCAAAAGTCTTGGGAGATGATGGCACCTCCAACTGTACTTTGCAGCCTCCAGAATAAAGAATTGCCAGGTCATTCTGCATATGACTTAAGAGTAGGGTGGCTAGTTATACGCTGCAAAAAAATGAGAACAAATCTACAGATGGTAATTCACATGTATAAGTTGCAAATTTAGAAATAATTGCTGAAATTTAAATAGAATTGCAATACAATCTCACCATTATGGGGAAACATCAGGAGAATGTCTAGGTGCTGCTATCACTGGGCAACTTCATGGCTCCTGGTCCCCTTTTTTCTGATTCCTTATCTTTAAACCAGATTTGGACCAGACAGACAGCAAACGGAGGAGACCTTGCCCGCCCAAGACACATGGGGGCATCTCCTGACAGCATTTGCTTCTTTTAGCTTTAATGATCCTGTCAAATTTTACTGGAGCAGCAGGATAAAGGGGGCGGCACAAAGGGGGTGGCACAGAAGGTATAGCTAAATCGGGGAGGAGGGACACACACTTACCTGGGGAGTAAATAACCCTAACCCACAAGTGAATGGGACTCACTTCTGAGTAGATATGGAGATTGCACTGTTAAGTAGACTTCAGTCATAGTCAGCAGCTGAATCACAAATTATGCTAATAAGTGTTTAATAAGTGGTTTCAATTGTTGCTCTAGCTTCCATGATGGTCTAAGTGTACCACCAAGGAGGGTGAGACTTGTGGGGATGGGACTCAGCAGCAGACAATTTGTAAGGGGCAGGGCAGGGTTGGGTTCTGTCCTTCCTCCCAATCAATGGCCCTTTGGCAAAACTGAAGTTGTGGGATTTTTATTTTTTATAGAGAGACAGAGCAATACACACATAAAATACTCTTTGTTCTGATTACAGGTAGGTAGCCGTGTTGGTCTGCCATAGTCAAAATAAAAAAATTCCTTCCAGTAGCACCTTAAAGACCAACTAAGTTAGTTCTTGGTATGAGCTTTCGTGTAGTGTATCTGAAGAAGTGTGCATGCACACGAAAGCTCATACCAAGAACTAACTTAGTTGGTCTTTAAGGTGCTACTGGAAGGAATTTCTTTGTTCTGAGTGCATGAACTGACGGCGGCTAAGGTTAAACAACTGTCACTACCTCTTCCATTGGACTTTAATGAGATTTGTACCTGAACTTCTGCCTGTACTGGAGCATGACTATCGTCCTTTTGGTGGTTTTCACCAAATCCGATGAAACAATGAGGTAAACAAAATGGGTGCAGACAGCACTGGGAAGGATGCCTCAATAATACCACCTTCACCTCTCTTCCAAGCAATCCTTTGTCTTTGATATGTGCCTATGGCTCAAGGCATGTAGTCCCTCCTCTCTGCCACTCTTCCCTTGAGTCTTATCCAGTGTTTCCATTTAGGCTTCAATTTCATCACACACACACCCATCATAATTTCGGTTCCCCACAATTCCACATCAGTTTGTGATTATTTGTTGTTGTTGAAAAACCAGTTTGTATGTAAATGGAATTTCAATGGAATTTTATGAAAATGCACCAGAATTTTATGAAATTTTAATGGAATTATGAAAATGCACCAGAATTTTACAGCAAAATTCCCCTAATATACACATTTTTTGCAAAGCAATTTTCCCTAATATAAAGCATTTTTGCATTATATTCTTTTCACTCATGCATTCATACGCACACTTTAGCCCCTCAGGCTGTGTATTTTTGTGCACACCACTTGGACTGGAGAACTTCATTGCAAAGTCCAGAGGTGCGCAAATTTTAAGGGGTAGCTGTGCTTTGGTCTGCCTATTGTTAAGGAAAGTGCTGATTAGGTAAGCTAGCCTATAGATGCAAACCGAACTTCTCCACCATCCCTAGCCATCCCTCTCCCTCTAGTCCTCCAAGTCCCTATAGCCCAGTCCATACCTTTTCTCCTCCTGGATGTTCTCAATGCCAATTGCACTACTGCGTCGGCCATTGAAGCGGCTACCTCGGTTGCGTGACGGGCTTCTCCCAGGTAGGGCAAAGGACTAGAGGGGAGGAAAGGACAGTAGGAAAAAAGAGAGACAGAGGAGGAGGAAGATGTAGAAAAGGCAAGAGCTGGAGGGAAGATGGAAGACTGAACTACAGAGACTGAACTCCTTGCATTGCTATCCCATGCTAACAGTTGCAGCCTGTCCAGAGAGTCACAAGGTGCCCAAGCATGATGTGGGAGCTGTCAAAGTTGGACAAATAGGGGATGAGCCAAGAGAGAGAAAGAGCAACACACATATGAGAGAGAGAGAGAGAGAGAGAGAGAGAGAGAGAGAGAGAAATGGAAAGATCGGTAGACAGAAATGCATGTATGAAAGAGCAACGGGGACAGGAGGAAATATAGACTCGGAAAAGCACAAGGTAAAGCCATGTACAGCCCCAGAGGGCTAAGCTAGACATTACAGTAAATGTGCACCTGCTACCCAAAATGGAACCCATCACATCTCCTCCCTCTGTCCCAGAAGAGTTTTCCTCCCTACCTAAGCTGAAGATCTGGAGCAGGGGCAGGGCGATGTGGGATGCAGCTTCTACCAGGGATGCCAAAGTGTGTGGCAGGGGCTGGGGCAGGGATTAGACATCTAAAGGCAGTTTCCAGCACTAGCTGTATGTTTACTCCAATATCTAGCTTAGCCCAAAAAGGAAGGGAGAAAAAGTAAAGCTGGGGGGGGGGGAGTAGAGAGCGCCCCCTTTCCTTACATTTGTTTGGCATTTTTCCTACTTCCAGCAGATGGTGGGTATCACCTTTTCCCTGCAGAATTAACCAAAGGAGACAATGCCTTTCCTGGCTTCTCTGGACATGGAAGGATGGATTCACCTAAAGGAGCCTTGCACAAGGACTTCTGCTTGCGCAATGGGGCTTCCATCCCTTCCTGAATGCCCCCCAAACTGGCTTGAGGGGTTGTGAGAGCCCCCATAACAGCACATGGGAGGGAAGGCTTGTGCATTCATCACAGTGTGACACTTGAGTTCCATCCAGTGTTTGGAAAACCTGCTAAATCCCCGGCAGCGATCAGGGAAGAGAAGAAATGAAAAGCTTCATCACAAATACAGCTTTCTGAAGTGCCATATTTAGAGTGCTGTCAAATGAGCCGATTAAACCTGGGCTGGGGAACCTGTGGCTTTCCAGATGCTCTAGTCTACAAGTCCCACCATTCCACACCATTGCACTACACTGGCTGGGATTGATGGGATCCCACCACTGGAATAAACACTAAATTGCTTGCTCCAAACCATACAACGCACTCACATCCGACTGAGAATTTTGGAACCGTGCGGGCTTAAGATGTAAGCCACATCTACTTAGATATCGACTTTGCCAACTTCTTCCAGTCATGCCAGAGGAACCTCAGCGCAGAAGGAATTCACTCTGTGCCATGCTTCTTATCACCAGGGGAGTTGGGCATGTATGGCTCAGGGATAGCAGAACTTATGCTTTGGATGCAGAAGGTCCCAGGTTCAGTCTACAGCATCTCTGGTGGCTGTGCTGGTCTCACCTTGAGCACTCTCTTGAGAATGAAAATTCACATAAGCATGCTTTCCACACTATAATTGCAACTCCAGACTCTCGAAAATGGCCTTCTCATCATGTACCTTCAGTGCCTGTGCAAAGGACTGAATGCCCACTTGGACATCAGAGGATGCCCTGAACTAGAGCAGCACCAATGCACTGGTAATATTAATGCCAAGCAAAGGAAGAGCCACTAATGCAACACTTCTAGCTATTAGTTCTTTCATTCCAGACACCGCCTCATCTCACCCTGCCATGCAGTCCATCACTGAACAGTCAAGTCTTGGCAGGCAAAACTAACTTGCTGCAGATGCCCACCAAGTGGTCCATAGCCAGGAGGTGAGCATACTTGGGTGGAACAATCCTAAGTAAGGTCAGCAGTACGCTCTACCCAACAAACACACTGTCCTAAACCTCTCCAGCCATCAACAAGGTGGTGGGAGAGGTTCTATAAATGAAATCTTTTTTAGTTCCCTCAAAATTAAAATTCAGTCTAGTTTCAGGCCTGTTTTGGCACATAAACCACCCTTGTCACTCCAAAGAATAACCAGTGCCGAGAGAGGAATGCCAGGAACGCAACTTCACTAATTCTCCTGGGTCTCTCAGTAGCTTTTGGAATCACTGAACTTTGTACCCCTTATGGATAACCTGTTCTGTGTTAGGAATCGGTGGCATAGGGTTTTGGGGGTCCCATTCCTGCCTTGGGGACTGATGCCACAACTGCTGCAGGAGAACTACTGCTCAGCATCGATGCTAAAGGGTCCCAAAGGGATTCATCTTGTCCCCAAGACCAAACGTGAAATGTCTACGTGAAATTTCTGAGGGCATCATCAGCATCTTTTACTCCTCTGCAAAGGTTTTTAAATTCCACCCACTCACATAAAACATCAAGGCAGTGCTCAGCAATTAAAAAAACCAACAGCACAATTTATTCAGATTCTCCCTAAATGCTTTCCCTGTTCCTCAAATTGTTTTCAGAGTCAGAATCGGCAAATGAATAGAATCGGGTCTCAGAGGAACAGGATAGGGAAATGAACATAGAGAGATGGGGTGGCAGGGAGCCCAACAGAAAATAGCCACAAAACACGACCAAGACAAGGAGACATTAATAGCTGGAGACAGATAATGTTGAAGAGCAGCGGGTTCACAGTAGTAGGGGATAGTGGCAAAGGACTGAGTACATGCTGGTCTCCACCCCATGACGCCACCTCCCCAATACCTTACCGCAGCAATAGCCTTGGTGCCTTCGGCGACACTCTGGTTGAGGGCAAGGCCAGCAGTAGCTGGGCGATTGGGTGGAGTTGATGGCTGCTGCTGCTGCTGTTGGTGCTGCTTCCTCATGGCTATGCCCATGGTATCCAGGCTCTGGCTACGGCCCCGGATCACCCGCTGGAGAGAAGGGCAACAGGGAGACAGACACGTTCACAGACACACAAAAGGACATCATGAAGAGCACTATAGGATGTTGGTGGGCTGGGTGGAAGGAAGCGGAAGGAACAGGCATGAGCTCAGAAACGCCCGGCTTCCTACAGGACTCGGGCAGACAAGGTATTGTTTCCAAGCGGACAGAACTCGCTTCTGCTAACCTAACCCACAACCTCCTGAACAGCTCTCTCATAAAAACCACACACACGTCCCTAGCCTATGGCACCCCAAAGCACAACCACCAGGGGGCAGACATTTAATCCTTCAACACAGGCATAGGCAAACTCGGCCCTCCAGATGTTTTCGGACTACAACTCCCATCATCCCTGACCATCCTGTTAGCTAGGGATGATGGGAGCTGTAGTCCCAAAACATCTGGAGGGCCGAGTTTGCCTACGCCTGCTCCAACACTATTCTTTGGACCTGGCACTGTAGACATGAGCAGAACCGCCAACTCGCAGAGAAGGTACAAGAGGATACTGTGGTCAATGGCATCAAAAGCTGCTGAGAGATCAAGCAAATGCAGCGAAGTTGCACTCTCCCTGTCCCTCTCCTGAAGCAGGACATCCATCAGGATGCCTAAGGCCATTCTGTCCTCAAACTGGACCTAAACCCAGACTGAAAGGGGTCAAGATAACCAGTTCCTTCCACTGGTGTCTGCAGCTGGACGACCCTCTCAAGCACCTTATCCCAAAACGTGATCGGGTGGTAGTCCAATATTAGTGACTGGTCTTTAGTCATCAAAGTTCCTCAGGGTTCAAGCAGGGCTTCTTCAGGAGTTGCTGCATCACTGCCTCCTCCAAGGCAGCAGGCACCAACCCTTCATGCAAAGATGGATGAACCACCCCCTGGAGGCAGCCAGCACAGCTCAGGTACTTCAGATGACTCATGATAGCCAGATGTTGAGCACACATGTTGGCCAAACCACTGCAAACACCTTGCCCATGTCCTCAAACCTCATCAGCTGATCCCACAAGACTAGGCAAGATGTTGTGTTGGACACCTCACCCAGCTCTGTAATAATGGTAGCATTCAGCTCAACATGAAGGCTGGTGATTTTATTCTCAAAGCCGCTGGCAAATATGTCATAGCTGACACTCTATTCCCAGTGACAGGGGTTGGCAGCCCCCTTAGCACATCTCTGCTGGCTAGCTACTCAAGGGTGCAATGGAGTAAGCAAATTAAGCCTTCTTTGCAGTAGGCACAACTATGTGCTCTAGCACACCTCTGACAAACTTTGCATTTGATTGTATGCCATTGTACTCTAGACTTCATTTATCCTGTTCCATGGCTTGGAGAGCCATAGACACCCAGTGAGCTCTCCAGGCTCCACAATTTTGGAAAGTGAACTCAGGAGTAATTGCGTCACCAGCTCAATGCATCTCACTGTTCCACAGCAACACCAAAGCTCAACAGGACCGCCAACCTTGGCTTCTGAAAAATCCCCCCAAGCATTCCAGAACCCTTTGGATTCCGTCAGTCTCTGGGGGTAGACCATCCTAATGGCAGAGAGGGGATGGCACTGCAAGACCCAACTTTGCCAGATAATGGTCTGACCATTAAAGGTAAAGGGACCCCTGACCACTAGCTCCAGTCGTGGCCGACTCTGGGGTTGCGGCGCTCATCTTGCTTTATTGGCTGAGGGAGCCGGCGTACAGCTTCCGGGTCACGTGGCCAGCATGACTAAGCGGCTTCTGGCGAACCAGAGCAGTGCACGGAAACGCCGTTTACCTTCCCACCGGAGTGGTACCTATTTATCTACTTGCACTCTGACGTGCTTTCGAACTGCTAGGTTGGCAGGAGCAGGGACCGAGCAACGGGAGCTCACCCCATCACAGGGATTCGAACCGCTGACCTTCTGATCGGCAAGTCCTAGGCTCTGTGGTTTAACCCACAGCGCCACCCACGTCCCTTGGTCTGACCATTACAATGGGGTTAATTCAACCCCGCCCCCCACAACATCTAGAGTACCACCACCCATCATACCGTGAGGTAAAGTCTAAATCAAGGCCTTGTCCTTAGTATGGACACCGAATTATCCCAGAAGCAATGTACAGTGGTGCCCCGCAAGACGAATGCCTCGCAAGACGAAAAACTCGCTAGATGAAAGGGTTTTCCGTTTTTTGAGTCGTTCCGCAAGACGAATTTCCCTATGGGCTTGCTTCGCAAGACGAAACGTCTTGCGAGTTTGTTTCCTTTTTCTTAAAGCCGCTAAGCCGTTAATAGCCGCTAAGCCGCTAATAGCCGTGCTTCGCAAAACGAAAAAACCGCAAGACGAAGAGACTTGCGGAACGGATTAATTTCGTCTTGCGAGGCACCACTGTACTGAGGTTGTCCACCACCACATTACAGACCACCTCAGCCAGCTTAGTGAGGCATACTGTTGAGCAGCAAGGTGGCCAGTTTACAAGGCACCAACTGCAGTCCCAATCTGCCCTGCCCCAAACCTGTGGCTGATTTCCCCTCCTCTGCAGGTAGCCTGCTGGAATCTGTTCTCTGAAAAGCAAATATTGACAGCTGCGTAGGATGGTGGCTAAGAGACTAATCTAAGAGCTAGGAAGTTCCTTCTTTTGGTAAGCTATCATCTCTAAGCCACCTGCACCCCTCTGGCAATATCTAAAATACAGAGATAATGCTACAGACCTACCTCTCAGAGCAGTTGTGGGGATGACTAAGATAATGTATGTGAAATACCTCCAATGGACAAAATGCAAAGTATTATTACAATATTCACCAGCGCAGCATGAAATGGGAAAATGCAAAATTACACCAGAAGTGAGAGATTAAGCATCACCTATTCCCTCTCTCACCTTGAAATTCTCAAAGAAGCCGCCACCCCCATTCTCCATTTTGTCATCATCACCAGAGGCCAAGCCCATCATACTGCGGCTACGAATCTGCAACTCCTCATAAAGGCTCTCCAGGAGGGCACTGCGGGTACGATCCTGCTCCAGAAGCAGAGAAAGAGAACACGTTTCAAAAAACAAATAGGATAGAAACAGGGAAGGGTGCACACTTAATCAGAAAGGAAGAAAGATCAGGCTGAGTGACAGAAAAGAAAGCAGCTCTGTATGTGGGTGAGTTACATAATCAGCTGGATCATAGAGCTTCAATAGCTCTATGGACTCACATTAAAGCATGAGACTCAATCTCAGGGCTGTTGGTTCAAGCCCCACGTTGGGCAAAAAGAGATTCCTGCATTGCAAGTCGTTGGACTAGTTGACCCTCAGGGTCCCTTCCAGCTCTAAAATTCTATGATTCTAAGTGGATGTGATTAACCAATTTTAATTTGATTTTGCTCCTAAGGGAATATTTAACATCAGCTACCTAAGGGGGCTTCAGAGACCCCGGGGAACTTTTGGAGGCTGTTTGATAAGGGGCAGCCTGGTAAATAGTTAGTCTCTTATCTGGTGGCACTGAGTACCTTAAATAGGGAATGGGAGGGTAGAAGAGAGGAGTACACTCTGTTGTGACCAGGTCTCCTCCAAGGTGACTCAGGGTGGCTAGAATGTGATTGTCACACTTACATAGTGTGCTTTTCATTCTATTGTAGGAGTTTCAGTTCCTATTAAAAGTGTAATTTTGAGGAGGAATTACCCTTCCCCTCCCCATGCAACAGCTGAAGTAGAAAGTCCTAGGTTGGATTTAGACATCACCTTGCCAACAAAGGTCCGTATAGTTAAAGCTATGGTTTTCCCAGTAGTGATGTATGGAAGTGAGAGCTGGACCATAAAGAAGGCTGATCGCCGAAGAATTGATGCTTTTGAATGATGGTGCTGGAGGAGACTCTTGAGAGTCCCATGGACTGCAAGAAGATCAAACCGATCCATTCTGAAGGAAATCAGCCCTGAGTGCTCACTGGAAAGACAGATCCTGAAGCTGAGGCTCCAATACTTTGGCCACCTCATGAGAAGAGAAGACTCCCTGGAAAAGACCCTGATGTTGGGAAAGATGGAGGGCACAAGAAGGGGACGGCAGAGGACAAGATGGTTGGACAGTGTTCTCGAAGCTATGAACATGAGTTTGACCAAACTGCGGGAGGCAGTGGAAGATAGGAGTGCCTGGCATACTCTGGTCCATGGGGTCACGAAGAGTCGGACATGACTAAACAACTAAACAACAACAATTGATTGTTGAACCTGCATTTCATTTCACATTCTGTCATTGATCACCAATATGTTACTTCCTGGTACTCATACCAATATTTGCTCTTTAAGATATATGAATGCAAATACAAGTAAACTGACTCACCTCCAGCTTAGCAAATTTCTCAGCATGGTAGCAGCTGTGCTCTGCATTTATAAGCTTTGCCAGAAGAAATTCACGGAACTCTGTGCCCTGTCAGAAGGAGGAAAATGCTCACTCACAGCATTTAAGTCTTACAAGACCCTTTCTTATAGATATATCCAGAACTGTTTTGGTGCCACAAAGGACAGAGATGAAGGATCTAGGTTACCTCTTTGCAAGCTAATACTTAGATTGCATGTTGATACCAAAGCACAGGAACAAACACAGATACAATAATATTCCTCTATTTACCTCAATGGGTTGCACTGTAGAGGTGAAGAATACATTCAAATTAACCACGTGGGACTGTACCACTCTAAAAACTCATGATTTCCTAAATGCCCTCCCAGTCTCTAAGGGGGAAAAAATCCTTTCCCATATGTAGACATATAGGAAATGAAGGCTACCTTTCCTTATGGTGCTTTAGCTTTTGACAGGCAGGGAAATCTATTACATATGGATTCATTTAAAGAGGCAACGCCTCATTTCCTATTTATAAAGACAAAGTAGACTATGTTGTACTACAATTTTTCCGAAAATGCATATTAATCCTCTTAGCTGATGAGTACTGATACTAGAAGGTGCTTAAGCTGAAACTGGCAGCATCTATTTTAGGTGCTTCTGAACATATTAAATGACAACAATGGCAATATTGGGAATGCTAGAGCCACATCTAAGAACACAAGTTGAGCTGGAAAAATGGCTCCCAGGTTCATAGGTGCTACAATATTTTAGAGCCCAGGCTGTCACAAGTTTGGGGCTTTTCCAGCCCTAGGTAGCTGCACAGAAAAGTTTCATATAAATAGATTGTAATGTAGGAACCATTACCAGAATTCCACTGCCCTTTAAGCCTTTATTTGTTTTTCTGGTTGCACACAAACCTTTTTGAATATTGCTGGATTTGGCAGAGAAGGCCCAAAGAAAGGGACGTCATCACGGGCTGTAACAGAAACCTGCAACCATCAGAAGGGACAGAGTGGTTTTAGAGTACAGACAGAATGACCACTGTGCAGGGTCTGTGCAAGTCTGCAGCCTTAGGATAATATTAAAACATTGTTAGATTTAAACTGCAGTCTGATGAAACTGCTAATCAGCGGAGAGCACAAAAGATATGGGATGTTAGAAACATCTCATATACAGCCACACACACACACTCTTTTATAACATTGCAAAAATGCAAATAAATGCACATTTGTACATTATATTCCAGGTGCATATAATCATTGCATTCATAGTATTCTTCCTTTTTCGACTATCAAAATACATAAAAGCTATTTCCATTACCAACAGTCTGTTATACTTACTACCTTTCCTATATTTCCAATACATTAAACACTTGCATTCTTTTACAAATAAATATCACATAAAAACTAATTGCTATATTTTCCTGCTGTGTTCTTATTTGTATAATTTCCCCTCAATAATAGATATGGATTGGCTGGCTCCTGCACCTTGTTATCATAATATTGGATAAATAAACTCAATTCATTTGCAAACATATTTTCATGGTGTCTTCCTTCTCTAACAAATCAGATTTGTTAGCTTAACCATTCATGCCATGTCCTGGATTTTAGTTAGCCAGTGATCTATAGAGGGACAGCAAGCACTTTTCTAATTTGGGCATAGTATCATTCTTACTGCAGTTAGCAAAAAACAAAAACAAAAAACCCAACCATTTCCAAATCTTCTTCTTGAACTCTATCCTTAAGCTAACTGAATAATATTACTAGTGCGTCTCTTAGAAGGTCATAACCTGGGTTTTTTTTTTTATTCCTTCCATAACTGAATCCCAGTATATTTGGTTTAGGAATATGTCTACGTGATATAAAATATTTGCTTCAAGGTTATTTGGAGGAAGCCATGTTATTTAAGGGTATGGCATGGATGTGACCTCAGTCTGCTTTAAAGTGGCAAATTAAGAGTAGGTGACCTGAAGCAAGAACTGCATGTGCCCTGTTTCTCTTGCAAAGTACTTCTTCGGCAGCCTGCCTCATCTCTGCTTCTTGGCCCCCCTCCTCTCCTGCCTCTGCTTCTGGACTGCTCTCTGCCCCAGCCTCTTCCTGCTCACTAAACCCTGTTACATCTTCAGATTCCGACACCTCCTCCTAGTCTGCTTCTTCTGCTCTCTCTGACCACTCATCGCCATACCATCATCAATCTCCTGGCTCTGAGCCTTCTTCCTTTGGGGTTTCCCCAGCCAGTGCCTCTGCCATCAAGCCAGTCCGTGACATCACCTTAACACCCCCTCCTGTTATTTATTCGAGTATTTGTCCAGGTTGCTAATATAGCACTGAAGTTAAACTAAAATGCTTGACATTATCTGGGTTGCTTTAGTTACTTTCTCAAGTCATTGTGCTGCTTGGACACTTGATCACCAGTAGGAGTCATTGCTACCAGGAGTGTCACTTGTGTACACCAAGGTTCATGTGTACTTACGCATGGATAAGAGAGGGAAATGCACACACTTCAAAGCGTCTGAGAATGACACAACTCCTTATCAGAAAAAGTACACAGAACAATAGAGGAGTAAAGGACTGGAGCCTCAGCTCTGCATGTTTTAAGACTTAAGAAGTGATAGGGTGAAATTTCACCTTGACTCCTGTTCTCTTCCAGCTGGAAGAAAAGTAAACCACTTTGAGGTTTTTGATTAACCAGTGAGTAAATTCCGCTAAAATAAGTAAGTAAATAAAAGAGGGACTGGCAAGAGACTGGCTAGTGCTCCACAATTTCTCCCCACTGTAGCCAAGGATTAGAGAACCAATGCAAAGTTAAAAGGGGGAAAAAAGTGGGCTAAGATTTAAAGTGCTGTAGTGCTATATAGGAGGGATGGGAAACCCTTTTCAGCCCAAGAGATATATTCCTTTCTGCACAACCTTCCATGGGCCACATGTTGGGGCGGTCAGGTAGCAGGGCTAGTGGCTAAAGTGGGCACAGCAACAACTGTTATTTTTTTACCTGTGTACAGTAGGCTAGTTTCTAGGCACATTTAGACACCCCTCTCTATCCACCTAGGGGGCAGTGGGTGGTGCTGTGGGTTAAACCACAGAGCCTAGGACTTGCTGATCAGAAGGTCGGCGGTTCAAATCCCCGCAATGGGGTGAGCTCCTGTTGCTCGGTCCCTGCTCCTGCCAACCTAGCAGTTCGAAAGCACGTCAAAGTGCAAGTAGATGAATAGGTAGCGCTCCGGTGGGAAGGTAAACGGTGTTTCTGTGCACTGCTCTGGTTCGCCAGAAGCGGCTTAGTCATGCTGGCCACATGACCCAGAAACTGTACGCCGGCTCCCTCGGCCAATAAAGTGGTCACGACTGGACCTAACGGTCAGGGGTCTCTTTACCTTTACCTCTATCCACCAATGAGGCAAGCAAGAAGCATTAGCACTCAATGAAGGTGCAAAGAAGGGCCAGTGAGGGGTGTGGCTGGGAAGGGGGTGTGGCTTGGGGAGATTCCCAAGGGCCAGCCAGAGGAGCCTAGAGGTTTGCTACCCTTGCAGCAGAACTCTCTTGCACTCGTCGTGAAAGTAGCAGAGTATTGACCGAGTGGACTTACCTTGTAGAGAGTCTCCCCCAGGGCGTTGTGGTGGAGCTGCACGACCACATAGGAATGCAGGAAGTTTGACGCAATCATGTCGGGGACAAAGGGAGTATTTTCGTCCTGGAAGACAATGGCCACGATATCGTTCCCAATGTGGCGCTTCCGCTGAAGCTGGAAGGGAACACGCAAGGGAACATGTTAAGAGGGGAGTTGGGCTTCCCAATGCAAGCTGCCCAGCTTGGCCACTCATGTCCACAGCACCCACCCCAATCTTAAACTCCAATCCATTCTAAACTGTCAACCCAAGCAATCCCCAGACCAGATTATGGCCTCTTCTTTCCAATCACAACTTGCTCCAACAACCTTTCCTTTGTCACATCAACCCTAAAGTAGCTACCTGTCTAGAGCAGCCTTTCTCAACCTGTGGGTCCCCAGATGTTGTTGAACTACAACTCCCATCACCCCTAGCTAGCAAGGCAAGAACTCAGGGATGATGGGAGTTGTAGTCCAACAACATCTGGGGACCCACAGGTTGAGAACCGCTGCTCTAGAGGCTTATTCAATACTGTGTCCTCCATAGGTCCCCACGGTACCTGTTGGGCATCTCCCTCTGTGAAGGGCAACATCGTAGAGACATGGAACATGATCTCTTTGCCCCGGAAATGTGTGTAGATAGACTCAGATCCTGTTTGACCTCTAGTAACATCCAAGCCACCTCGGAAGCTGATCAGCATAAGACAAGAAGGAGAAGGAGAGAGGGGAACAGGCAGAAGAAGAGATACCATGAACAACGGTAGCAGCTTTATCGAAGGCAGAAATACAATTCACAGAATGAACTGTGGTAGTTGGTGTGTGCAGTGGTGTGTGAAAGAGGGTAGGAGGCCTAGAACTTCCTGGTGGTGGTACTGCCACTTCCCAGGACGGGACCAGACAGGGCCACTGCTATCTGCTGCTATCAAGCCTATTTTCTTTGAAGGAAAAATGGGCCATGAAAGACAACTTCAAAACCATTAGGCTTTTATAGCTGAAGTACTCACCCACGGAAATCCTGCAACTGGATCCTGTCTCCAAGGATATTCAAAAACTCTAAGAAGCCCAGACTCTCTTCAGTATTACTGAAGACTTCTTCCTCTGTGGTCTATATAAAAGGAAACAGAAAACTGAAGGCCACCATTTCCCATTCGAGTTCTTGACCTATCCTGGAGTCCAATAACCAGTACAATAAAGGTCTCTTTTGCACATGTGTGTGCATATACACAAGCACACACACATAAACACACACACACTCTCCTTTCCTTTCACCTTCCTAAAAAAGCCACAATCCCTGTTTGCCAGAGTGGAAGGCGTGGAGACTGTGTGTATCTTTGACACTAGAAGATAAGCTGAATAGGTTCAGAACAGATATTAGTCAGTAGTGGCTCATAGGCCATATCCAATCCCCTAAAGGGTACTTTTCAACAGGGGCTTAAATAGACATATATCAGGTTGGTTTCTCCTCCCTAGTCGCTTGCATGTCACTTCCAAGTGCTCCCCTTCCCAGTTGCTGAAGCCAGAGGGAGCGGGGGGGGGGGGGAGGGAGGACAAAGGAGGGGAGATGATTAGCCAAAAAGGAGTGATGATGTACTGGAAAGGAAGAATGGAGGATCACTGGACATGATGGAGGGCAACAAGAGGACATAAGGAACCTCTTGTCCAGACTCCCCAAATAGCCTATGATAGAAAAGGGCACTGAGTGTGCATAAGAAAAGAGGTTTACCTGCCCAGGTTTTTGGTAGATGACTCCGAACTTGAAGTTATTGCTGATGACATGTTCATCAAATGCAACAATGAGTTGGGAAGCCTAGGAGGTGGAGAAACAGCCAGAGTTAGAAGTAAAAACAGGCAGAGAAAGAGAGAGTTTGCATATGGGGCTATAGCGAGCCTACCTTGGGATAGAGCACTGGAAAGAAGCGGTCAACATTCACATCCTCACACAGCAGCTGCAGGAGGACAAGCAAAAGATGTTCACACAATTCTAGTGCTGGGACTTGAGGCACCACTTTCACTGAAGCCAATCGGATGAGCATCAGTTACTTAACATGAAAATTCACATTTGCAAATTTAACCTTTCAACAGTCCTGTATTTGCAAGGGATTTGTCACACACACACACACACACACACACACACACACACACACCAACTTATTTATTTTTTAGTTGATTTCATAGGCTAGTACTCAAGGATTCAAAATTGATTAAGTGGGATATAAATTTAAATTTAGGACATAAATTTGAGACTGTTTAACTTATGCTGCCTGGAATGGGTGACTTAGCAAAATGGAACCTTTTCTTTGGACAAGTAACTGAAAGGAATCAGATTTGGTTCATCGGAGGATTGCAAGGCAAAAATAACCCAGCAACTAACAGTAAAGGTGCTGGACCTGGAACAATGTACCTTTGCCATTTGGACAGCATTGGGAAACTCATTCAGGCAAGAAATAGGAATCAAGTCGTGCTTGGTACTGGTTCGAGACCTGAAACAAACAAACAAACAAAATAAATGCTAAGGAAACCAAGCAGCAACAACTTCAGCTTCCCTAGTACAGTGGTACCTCGGGTTATGTACGCTTCAGGTTACATAAACTTCAGGTTACAGACTCTGCTAACCCAGAAATAGTACCTTGGGTTAAGAACTTTGCTTCAGGATCAGAACAGAAATCAGGCAGCGGCTGCAGGAGGCCCCATTAGCTAAAGTGGTGCTTCAGGTTAAGAACAGTTTCAGGTTAAGAACAGACCTCCAGAACGAATTAAGTACTTAACTTGAGGTACCACTGTACCCCAAAGTTCACAGTACCTAAAGCCAGCAAAGTTATTTTGGCATCTGTGACAGAAGGGCACCAGCCCTTCTCTACTTCCCTTACAATAAAAATACAGTAAATTAAATGGCTAATAATTCCCCACACTTTCATGACACCCAAAATCAGCTGTCTAACTGTGGGGGGCTTTACACCCAGGAGGGATCTATACCCTTTGGCAATGCAGCAGGCAATTTTAATTTTATTTTGCCCACTGAGTGGATAAATTTTAATTTATTTTATCCACGGACTTCTTTTTATAATTGTTATATATGCTGCAAATAAAGCTTGGTAATCAAGTGGTATATTAAGCAGTAATTTAAGCAGTATTTTTAAAAATATATATATATTACATTGGGTGCCCCAAATAAGGCTTGTTAGCCTTCTCAAACATCAACAGTTGTGGACTTTTCCCAAAGCAAACATGAGGGAATTTCTTTTTTTAAAAGTGTGCTGGAGGCAGTGCTGGGTGGGGTGAGGAAGACAAGCACTTGCCAAATTAATAGTCAAGGGATTATTGGCAGCACCTCCTATTTATTTTTTAATGTAATTTTGATTTGCAAACAGTTCTAAAATTCTGGTGACTTTTTTGTGTGTGTGAAAAGTGGCAAATAAGCTTAGTTAAGACAGCCATTGAGAGACAGAGAACCACCTGAAAAGTGCAATCATTTCACAAGGTTTGAACCAAAGGGCTGTTTTACCTCAGAAGCAAGCGGAGGTTGTCTTGCTTTTCGACTTGTTCATACTTCACGGAAAGGACCAAGTAGCCCAAAGTTGTGTCATTGGCATAAAAATTATGATGTTCCTGAGGAAAAGAGATATTGGAATAAGGGATGTAGAAGCAAGAGACTCTTTTCCTCCTCTAGCAGCCACTGGGCACATGTAATATTTTGAATTGTGGACTGCCTTGAGGTAATATGAGAGGAGACAGGGGAAGTCCCAGTAGGCTGAATTGGGGCGAAGGCATTGCCATGTTGCTTTGTATGTAGTAATGCAGGTGTGTGCGCTGAGGGTGTGTCATGAGTTCACTGCCTCTCTCCAGCATCACGGACACAATCTTTGAATACTGGTGGTATTTTCAGGGATATAGCTTCTGCCATTTTTATGTCATTTTTCTATTTTCCGTGCTGTGTCTGTTCCCCGTCCATCCCCTTCTGAGCTGACCATACTTAGGATACAATGGATGCTCCAACATATAGAAACAAGGCTTTTGCTGCCCCCTCTTCCACAGTGATCTGTGGTTTTCATTGTACATATAATTATTGTATAAAGGTAAAGGTACCCCTGCCCGTACGGGCCAGTCGTGACCGACTCTGGGGTTGCGCGCCCATCTCGCTTAAGAGGCCAGGGGCCAGCGCTGTCCGGAGACACTTCCGGGTCACGTGGCCAGCGTGACGAAGCTGCTCTGGCGAGCCTGCACCAGCGCAGCACACGGAAACACCGTTTACCTTCCCGCTATAAAGCGGTACCTATTTATCTACTTGCACTTAAGGGTGCTTTCGAACTGCTAGGTGGGCAGGAGCTGGGACCGAAAGACAGGAGCTCACCCCGTCGCGGGGATTCGAACCACCAACCATACGATTGGCAAGCCCTAGGCACTGAGGTTTTACCCAGAGCGCCACCCGCGTCCCTAATTATTGTATACCACTTGGATATTTTTAATGAAATTAGTGTTTTCATAAATAAATACTTTCATAAGATAGTATTTTATGTTTGGTTCATTTTATACTGGTTCTAAAATAGACTGGAATAAAAGGTGTGCCCTTAAGGCACACCTAATTGATTAAAACTGACCCTCATCGATTATGACAAAATATTAAGACAGGACCAGTAATTAACAATTAAACTAGCAAATTATTGTGTTTTTCCGTCTATAAGATGCCCCCATGTATAAGATGCCCCCTATTTTGGGGGACTCAGATTTAAGAAAATGGGGGAGATGTATCCGTGTATAAGACACCCCTAATTTTTGACATTATTTTTTAGGGGGAAACCTAGACTTATACATGGAAATATATGGTAATTGTGATGTGTTTGGCACCATCTCTTTGTAGCTTTAGGTGATCACAGAAAATATTCTTCTTCTACCTGGCCTTTGGCAACTGTACTCATGTTGTTAACGTTCCCCTGGTTGAAATCTGGTTTTGTTGATATGTATGGTATTTTGCAGTGGGACTGTTTTTCTTTGTTTTGTTTTATTGTACTAGTTTTTTCTACATGTAACTCACCCTGGGACTTCAACGAATATAATAAATTTTAAAAGCCTGTGTGCCCAATAAAATAATAGTATTTATTTATTTTAAAATATTTTAATGACGCAATTTCATTCCAAAAAAAAAAATCAAAGCACTTTACAACAAGTGTAATACAATAAAAACCACACAACATTAAAATAGATCACCAGCTGACTATTATGGTAAACATTTTCCAAGACTGTCTACATAGCCCTGCAAAAAAAAAAAAAAAAGTTTTCAGCAAACGTTTGGAAGTTAGGGCTTTTCCATACCTCCCCTTCTCCTGTCGCTTTCCCCCAGGGAAAACCGCTCTTTAGCACTCACTTGGAACAAACGGCAATTCGGGTTTCCCCCAGGTTCCCATTTGTTCCAATCTATTGCTAAATAGTGGGGTTTCACTTGGAAAGTGGGCAACTTTCAAATGTGAGAACCGCTCAGACCCATGCTTTCTAGGCACGGCACAAGTGGAAGTATGGACAAGGCCATAGTTCAGAAGGTGCCTGCTGTATGTCCCCAGCAGTGGGCCACAAAGACTGAAGTTTCATCGTCATGTTGATGTCAAATAAGCCTCACCAACTCAAGGGACAACCAGAAACACTCCTTCAGATGAGATCAGTGATCTAGCTTAGGATATAAGGGTTCAGGTGACCCCCTAAGGCACCCAGGACCCAAGTTGTTCAGGGCTTTGTAAATGGATACAAGGACCCTGAACCCAGCTCAGTAGCAGATGAGCAGTCAGGAGCTACAGAACTTCTCTTACCTTTCCCAGGAAGTGCTTGCGGTACAACTTAGCTGTTGGGTCACACTCCAGCTTCACTTTGCCACTGCAAGGGGATGGCAGGTCATGCAATTCTGGGCCTGAGATGGGAAGGTTGTGAGAGGTCCCTTCGATCCAATAGCCCCCAAACTGGGGTAAGATAATGAGAGGGTAGGGCCACCCTCTGCGTAACACCTGTCCAGAAAGAGAGATGTTGTAGGATCGGACACGAGCAGAGAATCAAAACAGAACAGATCTTGATCTGTTGAATTCTCTTTTTTAAAAAAAATAAAAAAATAGTTTTTATTAAAGATTTTCTTTGTTTACAAAACAACGTGCAGTGTCTCTTCTTCAGGTTGTAAACTCTTTTCTACAGATCAGTTATAAAACTTTTCTACAGATCAGTTACATTTACGGCACAGAAAATTTAAAATGAATCCAATCTATAATTTCACATGCACACACACATCTGAAACAAAAGTAAACCTTCAAAATCAAGTTCATGTTCCATTCTGGTCAGAGTCTACCACAGAAAATGAGCTTTCCCCTGTCATCAAAAACATAGTACGAGCACCCAGAGAAGCAAATCAAATATTGATCTTAATAGTAGGACAGGTTCAGGCGGGAAATGACAGGAACTGGTGAAGCCATTTAAAAAATGGTAGAATGTGGTCTGGCCATCGAGTCACAGCTGCTACCTGCACTATACATTTAAGCAGTAACATACGACTTTAAACAGTTATATGGCTTCCCCTGTAGAATCCTGAGAACTGCATTTCCATTAAGGATGTTGGGAATTGTTAGGAGACCCCTAGTGTGGTGTAGTGGTTAAGAGCGGTGGACTCGTAATCTGGTGAACCGGGTTCGATTCCCTGCTCCTCCACATGCAGCTGCTGGGTGACCTTGGACTAGTCACACTTCTCTGAAGTATCTCAGCCCCACTCACCTCACAGAGTGTTTGTTGTGGGGGAGGAAGGGAAGGAGAATGTTAGCAGCTTTGAGACTCTTTAGGGTAGTGATAAAGCAGGATATCAAAGCCAAACTCTTCTTCTTCTATTCCTCACACAGAGCTACAATTCCTAGAGTGGCTTAACAACCAATCCCTCTTCCCAGGGAACTCTAGGAATCAAAAGGAATAGGGGGTCTCCTAACAACTCTTAGTACAAAGACAAATGAAGGCTTGGAGTCATTAAATGCTGTCAGTTCAAACTAACACCTGATCCACAATTTGAGGGCGTACGTGAGCCAACCTCATTTCTAAAAAAAAAACGAATAAATTTGAACTCAAATCTTGGTTGGTTTTGCTGGGACTCACCTCATGGATGCTTGGGTATGGGATGTACTCCTCTTCTCTCTGAAAACCCAAAGAGGTCATATGGGGGTGAGGAGCTGGGGATTATGCAAATTGCAAAGTAATGCATAGGCTTCCAACATCCTATCACATGCATCCCTGCCTCCTGAGTCCAAATAAGGATAATAATTGGGCCTCTCAGTTCTTCCACCCAAACTATATGCATTTGTGGATAATACAGTGTGTGTGTGTGTGTGTGTGTGTGTGTGTGTATAAAATAACTATTCCTCATGAAATCCCTCTGGCATCTTCCCTATCCTTACAATTAGGGACGCGGGTGGCGCTGTGGGTTAAAGCCTCAGCGCCTAGGACTTGCCGATCAAAAGGTCGGCGGTTCGAATCCCCGCAGCGGGGTGCACTCCCATTGTTCGGTCCCAGCGCCTGCCAACCTAGCAGTTCGAAAGCACCCCCAGGTGCAAGTAGATAAATAGGGACCGCTTACTGGCGGGAAGGTAAACGGCGTTTCCGTGTGCTGCGCTGGCTCGCCAGATGCAGCTTGTCACGCTGGCCACGTGACCCAGAAGTGTCTCCGGACAGCGCTGGCCCCCGGCCTCTTAAGAGAGATGGGCGCGCAACCCCTGAGTCTGTCAAGACTGGCCCGTATGGGCAGGGGTACCTTTACCTTTACCTTTATCCTTACAATTCCCATCTCTTTCGTATATATTTGTTACATTAGTTTGGCTCACCTCCTAGTCCCTTAGCTCCACAGTTGAAACCTACGTAAGTGGAAGGCTGCCATTCACTGATACAGGGACACACTCAAAGCTGCAATTCAGTGGGAAGCAAAACACACCCCTGCTGTCCTGTCCCTGATTCCCAGCCTGATCATATATGCATAGCCCTATCTGGGCCTCATTGATCCCTCTCTGGATGTTGGGAAACAGCTTTTTATACCATGCATTATAAAGACAATGTGAGGATCGGCTCTTACAGTTGTCATTTTTAGTACTAAAATTCTGTTGGAGGGTTCAGTCGTATAATTGCTGAACTGACCTTGAGTGGAGCTGGAAGTGAACACCTTTGCTCATCCAAACGACTTTTCTAGACAGAGAAAAAGGCAGAGTGAAACTGCGCAGCCCAGTATGTCTCTCCTTTTCCCTTTCCCCTCCACCTGATGCCAATATCCCCCTTGCCAGCCCACCCACCCTTGCAACACAAGTTCAGATTTCTGCAGCTGAGAGCAAGATTCTCAACAAAGTTTTAAGCCCTACTCCTGGATATGGCCAAAGTTAAATTGCAAAAAGAGAACAGCCAGCATACCTGTTGTTGCTACTTTTTCATAATAATTAACTGTAGAATATCATCAACACAAACTGAACAAACAACTCCCTTGTTTGCAAAGCAACACACACGCCCATTTCACCATTTACATAACAATAGTCACTCAGTGTGTGGAAGGAGTAAACTAATCAGAAATACAGGTGAATCTGGGAAATAATCACATCATATAATCTAAAATACTGTAAGCAGTGGGAGAATGGAACCCCTACACCTCATTCTGTCTTATTCTGGCTGAGATCCATTGCTTTAGGAAAGGGAAAGAGCATGATGCTTTGCAACCAAAACTGCTCCTAAATGTTCCCCTCTCATCCAGGTGTCAGAATCAAACCATGTTCTGCACAGTCCAAACATCAAGTTAAAGCCTTGCTGGATATAGAGGCATCCATACACATAGGTGTTCCCCATCTAACTGTTTCTGTTCAAGACACCTAGACAGGTATCAGCGTAGTTTTCCAATCCTACCTGGTTACTCCAATTCCTTTCCTCCTCTTAGACTTGAGAGTTTAAGATTAAAAGGTAAGGTGTGTGCACCCAATTATCCAGGTAGCAAACACCTTTGCCGTACACTTTTCTGATAAAAACTCTTTTAATTACATGAGCGTACCCAGACATGTGGGATGCGGGTGGCGCTGTGGGTTAAATCACAGAGCCGATCAGAAGGTCGGCGGTTCGAATCCCCGCGACGGGGTGAGCTCCCGTTGCTCAGTCCCTGCTCCTGCCAACTTAGCATTTCGAAAGCACGTCAAAGTGCAAGTAGATAAATAGGTACTGCTCCAGCGGGAAGGTAAATGGCGTTTCCGTGCGCTGCTCTGGTTCACCAGAAGCGGCTTAGTCATGCTGGCCACATGACCCGGAAGCTGTACGCCGGCTCCCTCGGCCAATAAAGCGAGATGAACACCACAACCCCAGAGTTGGTCACGACTGGACCTAATGGTCAGGGCCCCCCTTTACCTTTTACCCAGACATGTAAAACTGCTATGTGTTTTAATCTGTAATTTTAGCTTCTAACACACCATCGTTTTAACCTTGATCTTTTTAACTATATCTATCTATCTATCTGTTGCTCAGACGCTCTTGGGATTTTTTATTTTATTTTTTGCACTTAAGCAGAATGCAAGTTCTGTAAATAATAAAAAAGAGAAAGTTAACACGGCCTAATGAGAGAATGCTGAGTTCGCTTTGCTAGCACAAACAGCCGCACATAGTGACAACAGAGAGAAGAAAACACAAGCAGGCACGGCAGGTGGCAGGGAAGGGGGATTTCGCTTCACATGTTCCTTACGTCAGAGCTGCTGTGCATGCGGCCTCCGGCACCTAGCAACTAGATAATTGCCAGCTCTTGCTTCACCACCAGCAGTTTGGCGCTGCTGGTTCTCTGACGCAATCAACAAATCATATAGGCTGCGGAGTGCCATTTTTAGTTATTGCCTCTGTTGCAGTTTCCGAGCCAACTGGCAATAGGAACTTAGCCTCCAGCCAGGGGTGGGGCAGAGCAGGGATGCCAAGGCACTCCTACGAAATATTTCATCCCTGGAACCGTGTGGTTAAGTGTATACATCCTTGGCCGCAAATGAGCGTAAGCTAACAGAAGCTCAGCGGAAAGAAACCCACCCCAGTTGTAACAAGCAGGAGCAAGGTGTGGTAAGAATTCTTAGGTGTCAAATATAAATGAAATGTTCATAAATATACAAGGCAAACACATATATAAGTATATAAGCCACGTGTCTGACATAGTAAAGGTAAAGGTACCCCTGCCTGTACAGGCCAGTCTTGCCAGACTCTGGGGTTGTGCGCCCATCTCACTCAAGAGGCCGGGGGCCAGCGCTGTCCGGAGACACTTCCGGGTCATGTGGCCAGCGTGACATCGCTGCTCTGGCGAGCCAGAGCCGCACACGGAAACGCCGTTTACCTTCCCGCTAGAAAGCGGTCCCTATTTATCTACTTGCACCCGGGGGTGCTTTCAAACTGCTAGGTTGGCAGGTGCTGGGACCGAGCAACGGGAGCGCACCCCGCCACGGGGATTCGAACCGCCGACCTTTCGATCGGCAAGCCCTAGGCGCTGAGGCTTTTACCCACAGCGCCACCCGCGTCCGGTCGACATAGTACAGGAGAGCAATCCTGAAGTCATTCTGACTCTCCGAAATAGATCTCAAATATTTCTCTGTTAGGAGAAAGGAAATGGGAAAGGCTCCCCCTTGTCTTTTGCTTACAAATCCTGTCTTAAGGGTGTATTTGTGTATGAATAGGGTGAGCCTGTGACCTGGATTCAGGAACTAAAGTATTTGCCATCACAAAACAATGGCCAGGCTGCCCAGGTAAAGCAATCAGTGACCAATATCAAGTATCCTTGCAAACAGGACTTCTGCTGTAGACGGCCTCCTTCTGTGATGTATGTATGATGTTTTAGGGGGGCTGGTCTTGGGCTACAGGGTGGGCAATTTCAAAAGTCTATATAAGGGCTTATGCACCATTGTTCTGGGTTCTCTTCTCCCTCCTGCGTGTGGTGAGTAGGGAACCCTGTTGCAACAGTTAATAAAGATCAGGCTTACCAGCTGCTTTGCTTTGCAATATACTCTGTTTGGCCTCTGTTATTTTCTCCTACCAATAGGGAACTCACTTAAGAACTCTATATGGGCTCTTGGATACCCCATAAGGGGAAAGGAACAGTTTTTTCTTATAACAAGGGGAAGATATAAATACATTTTCTGAATGGAGGTAAACAAGACTGGTTAGCAGAAGGTGCTGTAGAACTGGGGGTGGGGGTGGGGGGTGGGACAGGACAGGACACGAACTGGAATGAGAGACAGCAGGTTTTTACACGACAGCAGTGTTGCAATGGAGGTACAATCTCACAGCAGATTTAATGCATAGAAGGTGAGTCACCGCTAAGAAAGCTGAAACTTGATGGAATAAGCAAACCATACCTGCATTTTTTCAATCATTTCAAACAAATCCACTGCCTGTGAGAAATAACAGGAAATAAGAAATGAATTTTCAAGGTCACAAATTTTGATCGAGATCTCTGTAAATGAGACTTTTATTCTTTGTGAAATTATATGACGCTTAATATTTTGCCCTTTACACATGCCCCAAAACTTGAATCTGCAAGGCTCTTCATAAGATTGAGACTTTCTCATCACTGATGTTAAAATAAATACTTATCTTCACTGTTACAGAAATAGGCATGAAAGAAAAACTATTGCATAAACTCTAATTATTCAGAAACCAGACTGGAAAAATAGTACTCACATATTCTAAGGTCTTGTGATTTATGAATCTTTCACTTTTTAAAAAAGCAATTCATAAGTATCACCTTTATTATTCAGATAGTAATTTATCTGTTAAGCTGAGGAAGAGTTTCCATACCAGTCTAGAAGTTTTCCCATCTAAAAGCACAACCCTTGCTACTTGTTCTGATCCAACCAGGGGCCACACGTGTATTGAAAAGGGATTCTCTGTATATCCTTAGCTGTAGGAGACCTGCACCAATTAAACAGTGGTGTTTGTGCAATTCACCAGTCCAATTCAACAGTCAGGACCAGGGCTGGCTCAGAACGTTTTGCCACTTCAGGCAAAACAGAAAATGCCACTCCACCTACCGCCGCCACCTCTTCCTCCACAGCTCCCTACGTCTTGCTCCACAGACCTCCCCACAAAGGTGGTGGGGGAGTAAAAGGAGGCTGTAGAGGAGCAGACATTGGTGGGTGGAGATGAGGCAGTGGCAGAGGTGGTGAGCAGCACACTCACTGGACGCAAGATCTGCTGCGTAAGGCAACTGCCTTACCTCACCAAATGGGCGGGCCGGCCCTGGCCAGGACTACATGCACACCAGTTGGTTGAGAGAGCTGATTCAGTCCACACCCTTACTCACTGAATACCTGACTGCAAGGATTCTAGTTGTTGGTTTTTTAAAGAAGGATTCTGCAGCCTCTTACCTTATTTTGAACAGCTGGATTAAGGGCAGCCTGAGGATCCTGGACAGGTGAATCTAAGGTGTCACTGATGCAGCGCTCTGCCTCATCAGTCCTCCTGCGTAAAAAGGAGACAACTCTAATCGGAGCACCATAAAATCCCCAATGTAGCAGGCAGGTCCTCTATTCCGTTTAGTCATACCATCCCTCCCAGATGTTGACACCCACCTTTACTTACAAGCCAAAGAATTGTTACGCTTGCACTTCATAAGACCCTTGACCCACACTTTCAAAATCAGTGGAGAATGATCATCATATTCTGTTTCCTAGAAAATATCGCAGTTGACAATGGGTTCAAGACCAAACCCCAAAATCTCAATGGTAACTGAAAATTTGACACCCTGTCCCCCCCCCCATCCTGCCCCTGATCAGGCCAATTAACCCACACATATGTTTGTAGTGTTTTCCACATAAGCATACGCCAGAAACTCCAGACAGAAAACAGTACCAGACTTATCTGCCCAGTGAATCAAGTTGTTGTTTTTTAATGCTAACCTAGAAATCCTCTAGCACAGTGTTCACAGTGAGTCCTAAGTGATCCTACTTCCATGCTTTTACTTGTAAAATTCCCTCCAGCCTACTGCTGCATCCCACTTTCCATTCTAGTACAGTGGTACCTCGGGTTACATATGCTTCAGGTTACAGACTCCGCTAACCCAGAAATAGTACCTCGGTTTAAGAACTTTGCTTCAGGATGAGAACAGAAATCGTGCGGCGGCGGTGCAGCAGCAGCAGCGGGAGGCTCCATTAGCTAAAGTGGTGCTTCAGGTTAAGAACAGTTTCAGGTTAAGAACGAACCTCCAGAACGAATTAAGTATGTAACCAGAGGTACCACTGTACTGGCAGCCAAGCTGCCACATACTATTCCGTCTACCCCTTCGGTGGTTCCACTGCAGTTTCCTTGTTATGTCCAAATAGGACTCCACACAAACACCTCTCCCAGTCTTCCACCACTTTGACTTGGCTCAGATAATTCTTGATCCCTTCTTCCTCATGCCTGGTTACAGCTGAGTATTAGAATAAACCTGAACTACAAGTGTTGTGTTCTGCTTTGCTAAATAAAGGAAAAATCCTTGAAATCACACCGGTAGGTTTTACAAAGGGAAGATGTGAGTTCTGTGAAAGAAAAACAGGCTTGGAACAATTCCCAAAAGAGAATTAAGTCAACAGACTTCCATAGCATATATTTCTTTTGGTGACCTGCTGTTAGCCCAACGGTTCACTACGTGTGTGTATGTGTGTATGTATCTATACGCATCTACAGTGGTACCTTGGTTCTCAAATGTAATCCGTTCCGGATGTCCGTTCCAAAACCAAAGCGTTCTAAACCAAGGCACTCTTTCCCATAGAAAGCAATGCAAAATGGATTAATCGGTTCCAGACTTTTAAAAACAACCCCTAAAACAGCAATTTAACATGAATTTTACTATCTAACGAGACCATTGATCTATAAAATGAAAACAATAAACAATGTACTGAAGTCACACAATCAATCAGTAGCCGCAAAAACAAAAACGCAAAATAAATAGCAAAAACAGACAGACCTCAGCGTAGCACTCAAATCAGAGCACGTTCTGCTTCCGAAAAAGGTTTGCAAACCGAAACACACTTCTGGATTTGCAGTGTTTGAGTTCCAAGTTATTTTAGTACCAAGGTGTTTGAGAACCAAGTTACCACTGTATATGAATGAGTAAGATGTGTTTGCAGGACCCCAAAAGTTTTTACGACATAAATTATCTTACTTGATTAGTCATACAATAGCAGAGTCTTTCTAAATTTTAACAAGAAGCAGAGGCATAAGGAATGCCATGTAAAATAAATTATACCGATCCCAGAAGTCACATGACAGTAAATAGCGAGTTACAAACTCCTTGGGCAATAAACATTAGCAGTAGCTGGGGAATACTCTTGGAGGCCATTTACCAAAACAATGAGAGAACTCATCTAGTTTTATAAGACCTGTATCTGAGTGTGACTCGGCTGCACAGAGAATGCCAGGGTGCACAACTTCCCACTTTTGGTACCATTACCATTTTAGGGACTGGGCGACTCTGAGACTCAGTGTGACATACATTCTGTTTGATCCTAAGTGACCAAACTGCAGCTGAGATATTCTGAGAATCTATCTGCATTAATAGAAGCACAATGCAGAGGTAGAAATCAGTTTCCCCTTCAACATCTGTTTCTCACTGATGATGGTAATACTGAAAGACGGTAATATAGAGGCAGCACAGCAAGGGGTAATTACTGCTTCCAGTAAACTCACTTAGAGGCTTTCCTGAAAGAACCTGAACATTCCTCCCAAACAAATAAGCACAGGAAAAAATGCACACATAATCACAATTCATTTACATGGGTTAATAATTAGGGTCTTATGCAAATTAAGTTGCTCCTTGCTTGCTTGCTTTGCAATGTGGATTTAAAACATCTGGGAAATCAAGCCAAAACAGCTGGACAACTAAAAGTCACCCAGGTACAAATCCCAGAGGCAAGCTCTAAATCTATTGCAGTTCTTTTTAAAGTTGCTAGCTTGGATCTGAAACATTACTGGAGCCCTGGAGCCAAGGTGGGCTAGGAGGGGAAGCTTTGATGTACAGAATGATCAGAGTAAATGATGGGAAGAACTAATAGAAAAATAGAAAATTAAAAAAATCTTGTTGTACTACCTCTAAAGTATACTAGCTTCCCAAGTCTTTAAGTATTTGTGATAACTGCCAGAATGTGGTTTTACTGGTCGGTATATCTAATTGACAGCCTTATATAACAATATATAATAAACATTTTATGACACTTTTTCAGTGTTCAAAGTGCATCACACACATTATTTAAAGTTACCACCTTCTTATATAGCTGCAAGGCTGAGCAATAGCATATAGCCACGCTAATCATGATTCTTCCTATGGAATCCTGGGAATTAGGACACAGCGACAGATATAATTCCCAGCATCTCATTAAAGGACAGTTCCCAGGACTCTTTGAGGATAAGCTATGTGGTTTAAAAATGCTATTAAAGTTGTTTAAAAATGCTATTAAGTTGGTAGTGTGTGGACAGGACTTGTGGCTCTCAAGATGTTATGGGACTTTTGCTACCCATCAGACAAAGCCAGCATGGCAAATTGACAGGAATTATGGGAGTTGTACTCGATAACATCTGGAAGGTCATAGGTTCCTCTTCCTGAGTTTGTGGTTAAAGTGATATTTGAATTGCCTCACAGTTCACAACCTTAGCCACAATACAGTCCTGTGACTCGCAAACTCCAGATATCCTTATTATAAACCAAAATCCAGGTTTGTAACCACAAGAGGCCTGTGGGAATTGAGGGATATTCCAGGCCCTCCCCCAGAATATTCCTATTTCATGAAGGTGGAGAAAGAAATGTGATTCTTTTTCTTATGCTAATATATGGGTGAGATGTGTAGGCAAAATTTATCTATACTGCACCTTTAAAGCACATTTGAAGCTCATTTTCCCCCCTCTAAGAAATATGGGCACTGTAATCTACCTCTCACAGAGTTACAATTCCCAGCACCTTGAACAAACTACAGTGCTCAGAACTCTTTGAGGAGGAAAATGTGCTTCGAAAGTACCTTGCGTATGCAGAATAGGGAATAAAACTGCTCTCAGTTCCCAATATTCTGGCTGCTAAGAGAGTAGAGCAACACTGGGATTACTGTCAAACATGAAGTACTTATATATTTAGACTTTATAACCATTTAATTTTACTACATCCACATCAAATAACTCTGAGCATACTTGTTTCTTGATACTGGCTGCTCTACATTAACGCTCCTTTCTCCCGGTTTACCATTAGGCCCCCTCACTGAAATATTTCTGGCGACAGGCCTGCCCAAGTCCTATGAAATTTCAGTGAAATATTTAGCATTTCATGTTCCACAGAATACCACGGTACCGATAGGACTATTCTCCAGATGCAATTTTCAGTTGCAGGTCTATGGAGCTTTCCCTTTTCTGCTCTGAAAGCAAATGTCTTGTGAGAAATGCAGGCTCAGCTTTTCCCTGTCTTTGGAAACACACTGCGTACAACAAGACATCTTTTCGAAAACCAAGAGGAAGGGGAGAAAGAGGGGGGAAATGAAGACCTGAAGATTTAGGCATTGCATGCTGGAAGGCGAGAGCAATCCAGCTCACTCCCCTTCCCAAAAGACTCGAGGAACCCCTCATTCTTCTGGAAGTTCCCCCAAATTTTCGTAAATGCAAAATAAATCCAGCACCCTTCTTTTCTTGGAAGATGCAGCAGGAAGGACATGCAACAGGGTCAACCAGAACCTGTATAGGTACATACCCTTCACAGACTCCAAAGGTAAAGCTACGCTTCCGAGAAAACATCCTCGTCTCTCTGCCAACTGTGGGTTGTTTGGCCTCCTGAGCACAGGCGAGACGTCTCCTCTTTCTGTGCCAGCATAAACTCGCCACCCTGTCTCCAGAGGCTACAGGATTTGTCCCCAAACCACTATTCCCCTTGCTTTAAAACAAAAAATCCTCCAAATCTAAACTGCTATTTCCTTTGCTCTCCTGAGACACACTTCAAATGACAAAAATAAGAACAGCTCACAGTTAGGGCTGGATCTACACAGCGCAAGGGCAGGAAACTCCTGGGGAGACACGGCAGGTTGTCAGGAGGGCTAGAGAACAACCAAGGAAGAAGGCAAGAGAGAGTCAGAGGGAAAGCAAGAAATGAAGGAGGCGAATATTTTGAAGAGGAAAATGAGAAGGAAAACCGAAAACCTAGCATCTCCTTGGCAGGGGAAATCCATATCTCCATGAAAAAAACATCATGCTTATACAGTGGTGCCTCGCAAGACGAAATTAATTCATTCCGCGAGTTTTGCCGTCTTGCGATTTTTTTCGTCTTGCGAAGCACGGTGTCGGGAAAGTTTTGGAAAAGCTTCAAAAATCACCAAAGTCTTTAAAAACCTCAAAAAAGGCTACCACACCACGTTCTATGAGTTGCTCCTCAAAGTCAAGTCGCAACTGTATTAACGGTGTTATGAAAAAGGAAACAAACTTGCAAGACGTTTCCGTCTTGCGAAGCAAGCCCATAGGGAAAATCGTCTTGCGAAGCAGCTCAAAAAACAAAAAACCCTTTCGTCTAGCGAGTTTTTTGTCTTGCGAGGCATTCGTCTTGCGAGGTACCACTATAACTGTATGTCGAGGGCTGTTGTTTGAACAGCAATACTATAGTGGTTTGTCGCATGATGTTACAAAAGGGAGATGACCTGAGAAGTTTTGGCAAGGAGGGAGACAGAGGAAAGAGGAGCAAGGAATGAGCAGGAAACAATTTAGTTGTCTATCTTTATTATGGCAGAAGAAAACGAGCCAGATCACCAGGAGATCCACGTAGAAGACTATGCCCAGTCTCAGTATAACTTCACTATTCAGCAGTTTAATGCAGACATTGAGCGGCACAGAGGACAAGGTCAAAACTGAAGTACTGTATAGGCCAAAGACAAAACAGCAAACTAGTAGTGTTCCTAACACCATCTTCCGGGTCTACTCCTGCCCTCCAGGGAGAAGAAGAAGAATTTTATTATTTATACGCCACCCATCTGACTGCTGCCACCTGCAAATACAGCCCCCTGCACCCATTCATGTGACATGGCCCAGAAAGTTACCCTGGTTGATTGTATATCAAATGCTCTTAAGAAGTCCAGAAGAATGATCATTTCCCTGGTGCAAGCAATCTTCTGGAGTAATAATAATAATAATAATAAAACTGGGCTGAAAACTTAATTGGGAGGAACCAAAACAACTGCCGTTATTGAAGAAAACTAACATGCAAGTTTTCTAAATGCTGGGGTGATGGTTATTTCTTTTATATGGAGGAACAAAAAGTCTTAGGCAGTGCTTTTTCTAAACCCCTAAACATCTTGTGAATCTTTGTACTTTTGCCCATTTACTGTATTTATTTTCCCCGATCTGAACTATAAAATGGTGATTTTCTTGCGTCAAAATTAGAGTACCCCGAAACCGTTTTTTTTTTAAAGAAAAAAAGCACTGGTCTTAGGAGAGTAACCTTCAGTGATTACAGCTGTGTGCACACCATTTATTTAAAGCACATTTATAACACATCCCCTCCTCACTGCAAATTACCCTGGGAACCTCACAATTTCTCAGGGGCCTGTGAAGCCTCTGAGTGCGCCCACCTCCCTTGCAAGCCAGCCCTTATCCACCGCCGGCTTTGTCCTGAGGTGCTTATAGATACAGTACATTTCTCTCTCGAAAAGAACATAGAGGGGAAGGAGGAAGTGTGACGCTGCTCCCATTCCACTTTCAGCTCTGTGCTGTTCAAGGATCAGTTCAGTACTTGAATAGCTGAGCAGAAAGTGGAGCAACTGAGAGGGCAGGAGGGGAAACAAAGTGATCAGGGAGACAGAGAAGGAAAATAGCAGTTAGGAGGAGCAGAGGGGAGAAAGTGAGGTGCCATAGGAATCAGGAGAGAGAATGTGAAATGTGGGGGGGGGGGAGAAAGTGTGTAAGCACATGCATACACAAACACACACAAGTCAAATCTAGTAAAACAGATCCCCTTGATATCACATTTTTTTTCATAGGGTTTCAACCACCGTTGAAATGCAGATCACACCTGTCTCTTGTACCTGAGCCATCAAATTGCAGATCTGGCGTTTACCAACAATGCCATCGTACACAAATATGGATCCTTACAGATCCTCATAATTTTCCCCTCAGAACCACCATCAAATGACCTGTGTCCAAAGATGTGCTTTGTGATTTATTATTTTTAGTGATTTTTTCAGTCAAAATATGTAAAATAATGCAGATCAAGCAGGATTCATGCCTGGCTGGGATCAATGTTTCTGTGGTGCTCACAAGCATCAGATCTGTGATTTTTTCCCCTCTGCAGTCTGCTGAAACAAGTTTTGATTTGATGGTGGTTTTTGGTGGACCCCATGCAAATTTGTTTCAATTCTGCTGGATCCAACATTTAGCCAGCCCCCATAGAAAAATAGTGTGTGCATGTGCACATGAAACATGTTCTCTCTTTTGTCTGTTGAGGGGAGGGAGAAGCTACCACAGGAGAAAGTGCCCACAATGGTCTCTCAAACTTTCAAATTCACTCAAGGGCCCAAAAATATTGGCAACCCCTGGTTCATTACCTCAGTTCCATGGTCTATACGTAATGCTAAGCCATAGTGTCTTTAGCGCAACTATGACTACCTATTCTGCCTAGCATACTAACCATGGTTTATTTTATGTGAAACCGCAATAAGCTTATGGTTTGTTGCTGGTAAGGATCATGACGTGTTTTAACCATGGTTTACGTTCTAGCTCAACAATCTTGTTTAACCATGGTTTATTTATAGCTAGCCACCCCACCTCAAGTGCTCTTCAGGTTACAAAACCGTGAGGCAAGAGAAGCTGGAAAACAAAGCAAGCTTTGGAGAAACAAGCCATGGCTTCTTTGTTCGTATATGAGAAGACTTGTGGTTTGTTGAACATATCATGTTAAAATAATGGCTAAGTTGTGTGTGAATGGAGCCACTGAGAACTAGAGTTTCGCCCCATAGTTTTTCTATTGAAATTTGTTAGAATTTTATTGATTGGTTGATTGCTACTTTCCCCTGCTCATTTATCAGAAGGAACATCAAAAGCCCTTAGTAACAGCTTGATCTCTTTGAACTCCTCAGCCCAGGGATGAAAATAGTCTGTGCGCTGCTGAAGGGGGAATCAGGGACTGGTACAGTGGTACCTCGCAAGACGAATGCCTCGCAAGACAAAAAACTCGCTAGACGAAAGGTTTTTCCGTTTTCGAGTTGCCTCGCAAGACGAATTTCCCTATGGGCTTGCTTCGCAAGACGAAAACGTCTCGCGACTTTGTTTCCTTTGTCTAAATAATAATTCGCAAGACGAAAAATTCGCTAGACGACAAAACCTGCGGAACAAATTAATTTCGTCTTGCGGTGCACCACTGTATATCAATGAAGCCTTATTAACAAGCCTGACACATATCAATTCACTTCTCTTCAGCCTCTTGTGAATGGTTCTGCAGCCTTTCCCTATTTCCTCTCTCACAATGCATGTTTATTCAGAAATAAGACCCACTATGGTCAATGAGGGGGGACGCGGGTGGCGCTGTGGGTAAAACCTCAGCGCCTAGGGCTTGCCGATCGAAAGGTCAGCGGTTCGAATCCCCGCGGCGGGGTGCGCTCCCGTTGCTCGGTCCCAGCGCCTGCCAACCTAGCAGTTCGAAAGCACCCCCGGGTGCAAGTAGATAAATAGGTACCGCTCCGGAAGGAAGGTAAACGGCGTTCCATGTGCTGCGCTGGCTCGCCAGATGCGGCTTTGTCACGCTGGCCACGTGACCCGGAAGTGTCTGCGGACAGCGCTGACCCCTGGCCTCTTAAGTGAGATGGGCGCACAACCCCAGAGTCTGTCAAGACTGGCCCGTACGGGCAGGGGTACCTTTACCTTTTATGGTCAATGAGGCTTACTCCCAGGTTAAGTGAGCATAGGGTTGTTGCAAGAGGAGTTGCTTCTTGAATCTCGGTCCTACTGCTTGATGATAAAATCCCTTTGAGGTATTTTTCCCCTGTTTCCCTGCCTCAGCTTTATTGCTATGAGCCACGTCATTGCAAAAAGTAAAATGAGCAAATACCGATAATTAAAAGAGAGTCACCACCAATTAAATTTATAGTAGTCATTTAGCAGCAAGAGAACTATGTGAACTTTATTTTCCTCTGCCAAGGAGAATGAGTAAGATCTCATTAGAACAAGAATGGTCCACAAGATACCACAGCAACAGCAGGACATTCTGGATTAAATATTAAACAAAGTGGTAATTTAAGATATTGGACATGGATGAGAAACATCCGGACAGATGGGAATCAATAGAATTTCCGTTGCCTTCTAATAGTCTTGCACAATTTCCACAGGATTTTTAGGAGTCCAAAACCAAGATAACCCTCCAGTGGCGTAGCGTGGGGGGTGCAGGGAGGGCCGGCCACACTGGGCGCAACATCTGGGGTTAGGGCAAATCCATTGGTTAGGGGGCGCAAATCCACGGGTTAGGGAGCGCAAATCCACGGGTTAGGGGGCGCAAATTACTTGCCTTGCCCCGGGTGCTGACAACCCACGCTACTCCACTGTAAACCCTCTTCCAAAATAATAAAAGGATCTATGGGTAGACAGCAGCAGCAACAACATGTTGGTGAATAGAGTCGTATGTGCTGGGTCGTCTAGCCAGTACCCCCTAAACTAGTCCGCTGCCTCAGTGCAGTGGAGGATGCTATCACATCACATCACATCACATCACAAGGGCAAAAGTAAGACAGCTATCAATCCTGATGGTGTTACATGGAATAGAAGGGGATGCCATCTTGTTCTTTGTTTCAGACAGCAAAATCTCTTGGGCCAGCCCTGTTGAAAATGAAGTCATGCATAAGCTTAACTCAAGCCGACATGCTATGAGGGAAAACTAATTCTCCAAGTGGTTATTTTCATAATGCTGCCCTGAAAATAATTTTATTTGAAGATTGTGGTGGTGGTGGGAATCTATAAAGTAAATAAATATTC